ATAATAATAATAATAATAATAATAATAATAATAATAATAATAATAATAATAATAATAATGGTAATGATGATGGGATAAATTCATGAATTTATAACATTTACAATAAAAAACAATAAATAGTAAAACAAAACAAATGAATAATCAAATCGAATGAATATTTTGTGTGATAAATAATCAGAGATAAAAGGCTGACTGTATTAATACTGGCATTGAACTCTCCTCACTACTAAACCTTTTCTCGTATGATTTACAATAATTTTACAGCTTACATTCAATTTCCTCATTCATATTTCCTGCACAACATCATATTTTAATAAAAACCATCCATCTTTTTCGATAATTTCTAAATACAGCATTTAATTCGGTCCTCACCCAAATGAAATCATTGCAAATGAATAAAAAAACACCGAATAAACAATAAGTATAACATCATAAAATGACAATGTGTTTTTATCTTTTACATCCCAAATTAATATGAAAATATTCACTACCAGGATTTATTATAAATAATCCTCAATATAGCTGAACGGAATGGAATAAGAATCGAATCGTATAATTTTAACTACAGAATGTTTATCGCATAATGAATATCAAAAAATAAAAATCAGTTAATGAATAATATTATAGCGAAAATCGCTTGTTCCATTCTAGAATACTTCGCAGCCTAAAGATTTGTCTCACATGAAACGATCACTTTAGTTGTCGTACCACTAAAGTAGTGTATGCCATATCTTCTACCGTTTCGAAAGTTCTATTTATAAATGAAATCACTATCGTTTTGGCTGACAATAAAGAAATGGAATCAGTTCTTGATCTTTTTTTAAAACTTGGCCAATTTTTTCAGTCAGTCAAGTGGTTCAGAAAGCCTGATCCTAAAGTCTATGAGCAACAAATATTTGCAGCTTTCATCGACCACTGATCAGTTCTGCTTTAAGATAGCTCTTACGATAAGCTATCCTTTATGGCAATATTGTTTTTTATGATAGGCGGATGGATATCTTCGAGAAAATTAATCCACTTTGCGTTTGCATCAAGAAATGGCTAGGACAGCAGTTCTTAACTGTCTCGTCCTTCATTGTGTCGAGTCAAGTGCTTATCTATCAACACCGACATTATTTCCTAACCTAATTGAATTTTTTTTTGCAAAGCGAACTTCACTTCACAATGATTAAACTTCAGCAGATGGAAACGACAGCTTTCCAAAGAAGCATTTTCAATTGTGAATGAGTTGAATAATTAAAATTTAAAAACAAAACATCCAATAGATATTTTTAATAATGCAATTGAAATCATTCACTTGCTCATTTTCATACACAAACCTTTTGAGAAACAATAAATTGAAGATTTCTTTCTTTTTCCTTTCTTATCTTCAATTCAATTAATTGAATACAAAATTAGTAAACTGATTGCGTTCTTCAAGGAAACATAATACAAATATGAAAGATAATGAACAAAAGGAAAGAACGATTAATAAATGAGACTGGCAGATAACACCTTGAAATCAACAAACAGATATTATGATTATCAGAAAGAGGATGGAGAGTGATCGATAAAATGAAACGACCGTTACAATTTGAATCGTCACCAAACAACAAATTCTTCGTCAAAGTGTTCATAGCTGTATGATATTAATCGGTAATTAATTGATATTGGTAACAACAAGGATATATGACATAATGAAACATCTCCTCAAAGCACTATCATCTTCTAAACTAAGCAAAATAATGAGTTAATTTCAAAATTGTTACATGACTAATAAATACACATGTAAGGAGCATCAGTAAACTACATCATATCATCGGTGAATCAATTGATAGTATAACAAATAAGTGATAATGCATATGACTGACACAGGTACATACCAGGTTTAATTTTGTATTTTTAATCTTGTTCTTACTCTTCGTCAATAAAGTGACAACGTAGATGCATGAATGGATACAGCTTTCTAAAAACAACATAGCAGAAGTCACCACTTTATAACTTTTGTACAAGCATCGGCGAATTTGGTGCGCTTTCAAGTGTACATTCTTTGGGAACAAATCTTTTTGAGCAGATCAAACCAGCAGCATCACTACTCTGTTCTTGGCCATCATCACAACAAAATCTAGGTCACTTATTGCTATCGTTATTGTCACTACCGATTATTTCACTCTTGAGACATTGATAGGGCACATTAGGCATCTTCTTTAACAAGACTCCCCTCAACATCATCAATATGACTATCACCATTCGTCTCACCTAACGTCGCTTCAATGATCTCTTCATGTGCATCTGCAGCCTCTATTTCTTCTTCATCATCACATTCATCCATGAATACAACTTGCTAGAAATTATCAGTTTAAACAAATCACGTTACTCGATGAATATAAATCTATCACAGAGCCATTGTATCGCATGAATACTGACTGTAATATTCATTTCATTCAATTCTCAGAAATTAATGAACAAGCAACCAAAAAAAGAAAAACAAACCATATTATTAAGATCATCCGCATCAATTTGCATTCTAAGTTGTTCATATTGTTCTGGAGTTAAGGCGATTTGTTGTAACATCATATTGCTGTGATCATTATCAATATTACTATCCATTTTAACATTGTTATCACTACCATTAATGATAATATTATCGATGTCATTTATCACCACTACATCCGAACTGGACGTGATACTATTATCATCCACGTGTTCAGTCGATGGCCGATTCAAGCATTTTGTTGACTCATTTCTTGTCGTGCCTTTAACCGATAAACATGATAGACATATCCACATCAATACTAATGAAATACAATAAGCTGACTTACCTAAATTTTGTGCATCACTTTGCTGTGTATCGGCGACCATTAAAACATAAATACCTGCACGCTGTTCACTCATTTTATCATTATTTACAGTACTACTACTACTACTACTACCGTTCTCAATCGCAACTTCTTGTCCACTCTCCTCTTCATTCTCTACTCGATTTATTCCATCATTCTGAACCCGCCTTTGCTGCTTCTGAATTTGAAATCGTTCGTCTATATTTGCTTCATTTTTTTGCAATAATTGTTCATTATTACTACCATCTGAATGAATAATATTTCGTTGCTCTTGTTGTTCGTCTTGTTTCAATGTTATTCCACTACTTATTCTCGAATTTGATGGCATTACAAAGTGATCATCTGCAACGATTACTTTCAATAGCAATTCAATACTACATGAGTTTAAAAAAAACAGTTGAATATGCTTTTACCTTCGAGTAAAACTGGCGGCATTGTTGAAGTGCAAGGTGAAGTTGGTAATATATTCGTTAGTAATTTTGTACCTTTATTACTAATATCATTATTATTGTTATTATCATTACTATTAATACCATCAGTATTATTATTATTATTATTATTATTATTATTATTATCAATGGAAGCAGCAGCAGCATTATTGAAGGAAAAATGTTCATATTTCGGTTGATGACACGAACGACGATGGTAAATAAACTGATATCTGAACATCACTTTACAATTACTACATGTAATTTTCATTTGAACAAATGAATAAATAATGATTACCAAATAAATAAATAATTAAATACATAAATAAATAATAAACCTGTCGAAAAAAGCAGTCTGGCAACACCACCATGTAACTCTTCCTTTATTTACATCAGCTCTTATATTCGGCATTCCGCGGATATGGACAATCGCCGAAAAGGACTGTCGATTATGAACACGTAGCATATGTCGTATTAATAAGGATGGCTTCACCATCACTAAGCCACACAGCTCACATGATGTCCTGTTACATTTCCCAGTTATTCATTTATTTAGCACTGTCAAAAATATCGTCGTTCCTTTGCATCCCTCATTCAACACATTTCGCTGCATGAAATCATTCGTTTCCACGAATTTTATCCCGACTATCGATCAATTAGAAAGATGCATCGATAGCAATACTATCAATATTTTGAAAACAGATAAAGAAATGAACGCACCTACACGGTGTGTCCTCCATTAAGGGCGTTAGCTTTACAGTTGACGTACTATTATTTGTGCTATAGATAATGTTGCTCGATGAAATTGAATTATTCACTTCACTACTCGAATTTGTTGTTCGAGAATTGTTTACTGTTGCGGTTGAGAGATTCAACGTTTGCACAGCATTTCTATTGGCGTCATTATTATGAGTATCATTGCTATTGCCATTGCGACTGCTGCTTTCAATATTCACTCCTTTTTTATTATTATGATGATTACTATTATTGGTGATATGCAATTGTACTCCTGCACCACGTTTGCGTAACTCTTCAACACGGTTACGTGTAACTGGCATACCATGAACGTCCCCTTTATGAACATTCAAATCAGCCATTGACATGCACACATGACCACACCATTTGCAGACGTATCTTAACCATCATTATTTTATGATCACAACAAAAATCCGTATTTACACAACAATAAATAACTAGTCAATGAAAAACCAAAAGAACTAAAAATAACTAAGCGTACTTTCGTCGACGTGAATGCATCAACCCAATATGCGCGTATAATTTTTGTTCATCCGTAAACACCAAATTACATTCACGACACGTGACTCGTTCAACAAACTTCAATTATTATTATAACAATTATCATAACAGCAGTGACAATAACAATGTGTTACCAAATAATGATGCAATCATAAATAATGAACCTGTTGTCCAAATTCCATGAGCATATTATTCCTAAGTTGATCATTTTTGGAATGTGCTCGGATATGGTTGATAATCGCTGACTGATGTTGCGCATTAATGTAGATACCACATATACGGCACGGTTGGAATTGCAGTGAATTTGAGTGACTGATATTATCATGAACTGAACGATTAGTTTTATAACGATTCGTTTCAATCTTTATATTGAGAGGGAGGGCTGTCAGCGCACATGACATATTGTCTATTAATTTCTTGAATAGCACTATCATTATTATTATTGAACAAAAAATTCAACGAATAAATGAATTCACATGCTGCATCACGTCCCCTTGCCACCACATTCGTTAAAGCCTCTTGCCTTAACTTGACCAACGCCACACGCTCACGTTGTCGATTACGTTCTTTTTCACGTCTATAACATAAAATATTATCAAGTCAATAAACTAACATCAACAATAACAATACTACTGATCACAAGCCTCTTCCATTCCTGCTGAATGTTTTCTATATCAGCTAAAGCCTCATTAATCGCCTCTGGATGTGCCATTTTTGTATGTCTCTCCAAGCCGAATGCAGTAAGGAATATGCGGTCAGGACAATGTCTGCATGGATACGATTCTACTTCATCAGCGATACCTTTAAACTTAACTTGCATTTATATAAATAGACAACAACAAAACAGAATGGATGAAGCAAAACACTATAATGAATAAGCAACTAATAAAAACAGACACCTGGTAATGGATGTTCAACGTACGGCTGTTCGTTTGAGTCGTACGATAACGGTGGCGCTTCAACAGTAATATGGCGTGGAAACTGCATGGGTTGTTGATGAGAATTATTATCGAATGTTTTATTACTATTAACTGCGACATTACTGCTACTGTCATCTGAGGACAGTACACGCATCATCACACCACCTCTTACAATAACACCTTCATCGAACTCATCGTCGATATCTAGGATATCATTTGATGATGAACCTGAACAATTGAATATTACTTACTTGAAGTATCACATATTCTAGAGTCTATTCAAACATTTACTAACAGCCTGCAAAAAGGGGCTCGCATAAATTGTTAATTTTCATGATGATTTATTAATCATTTGAATTATTCCGTGAAATAATTTAATGAACAACTACATTAGCAAAATACTGTCTGCTAAACGAGCAATAATTAAATAACGGATGCAACTTACAGCGTTGTTGATCAACCAAACCCAACGATGGATGCACGCGTTTTCGTGAAATAATACGCGGAGCTTTACGCATCACTTTTACCTTTATTGTTATGAATTCTATTATCTACTTCTCCGATTTCCTTATCAAGGTTACGTAAGATTACACAATAATAATTATTATTACGAATATATCTATCCGAACTGATCAAGGAACTTGATATCTAAATAACATTCACTGCAAAGCGTGATAATAAGAAATAACCAGTGCTATTGATAGCCGTTTTAAAGACAACACAATACAATAGGTGATCGGCCACTATGCCACCGGGTCTAGGACAATTTGCTCCGCGACAAGTGCCACTCCGGTGATTTGCTAGTGCCCGAGTCATTTTTGTCGGAGTTTCGAATTGTCGCGGACTTATTTGTTGGTCACCCGGACTAGCATGTGCAACCAGTGGCAGAAGCTGAACGAAAGCAAACAACAACAACCAATGTAACTGGCACAGCGCCATTCAGTTTCGCATTTACGCATAATGCCAAATTTTCAAAGGACAATCTTCTCAAGATATGCCCTTATCTAATACTCACATTCAAGCACTCGCTGGCAAAATAACTGCTGAAGCAGTCGCCGTCCAGTGGACCTGCTTGCATCTGCATGAATAAAATATATGTTGGTACACCACTCGGTTTCGAGCAAAACTTTTCCCCGCCATGTTCACATTGCAATCAGTTCTTCAGCGCATGAAATGGTGTTGTATAAAGACATCTGGTGCCGATGCCACTGGCAACTGAACGGAATAAATCAGTTCGTGATCTTAATTTTATGAGATCGTTTAAGCATTGTTGTTTTGTCGTTTCATTTTAATCCCTACATTGTCACCATCAGTAAAATTATGAACGTCGCACAACAAAATGTCGTCGAAAATCACAAGCATGATACAATTTAACGTTGCATCCGTGTTTTTCATCATATTACGAATAATAAATACGTATTGACTATTATTACCCGTACGAATCACTTGAAAATTTATTGAATTCATCAATAATCAAACGACGAACGAATGAAAAACCGTCAGTGCCCATTAAGTGCAGAAAATAAGAAACAAATAAACATATTCCAAAAAAAACGCCAAAGACTATAATGACATTAACGACACAACAAACATGAGAAATACTGATAAAATACAACAACAAAATAGTGGTAATCATATATTAAAAAAGTGGTAGCATCAGTATCAGTAGACAAAATTAATGCAGAGGTATTGGTCTGCTCGAAGTTATTGATCCTTACGCACAATTCAAACAGGCAAAGCCGAACTTCCAATTTGATTCCACACGCAAATGAAATCTCGAGTTTAATTCCCCGTGGGAGTCACAGCCATTTTACAAATTGTTTTTTTGCTTGCGTACGTTGATTACAAGATTATTCTAATGGAAATACACAAAAATACGGAAACAGCGAAAATATAAAATTAATTAATCAATCAAAACAAGGATATGTAACACGACAATAAGAAAAAATGACCTGATAGTAATAAACAACTAATAATCAACCCATTGCTAATCATCATACGAATATTCTTTGGTATCAATTATCTTCATAGTGATAGTAGTCATGCAAACAGACGCGAACGAATGAGGAAAGTCGCTTAAGTTTGTACTATATTAACATGACAATAACAATAATAATCAACACAACAATATAACAAATAAAACAATTGAACAAACCATTAAATACAATACAACAAAAAAATTCTAATCCGTCCCGCGAATTAAAAATACACTCATATCAACAAACAAAAAATTGGAAAAGACAGCATCTGTGAAAGACATCTGGTGCTGATGCCACTGACAACTGAACGGAATAAATCAGTTCGTGATCTTAATTTTATGAGATCGTTTAGCACTGTTGTTTTGTCGTTTCATTTTAATTCGTACATTGTTTTTATTTGCATTATTGTTAATATTTTTATCAGGATCATTGCTATTATTATTCTCCTTCAATTATTAACGATTAATATTCGTCTTATGTTTGCAAAATGAATGGATACTTTTAAAATATTCAATAAGAATGGCAAAAGAAAAAAATGATGACAGTAATAATGTTAAAAATAATGATTTTTAAAGTAAAAATAATGACATTTGTAATACAAATGATCAAAATGAAAATGATAATACCAATGGAAAAAAAGACTAACTTTCGATGAAATTATTGGCGTCGTTCTTCTTGACTTTGTGATTGGTGAATAAGAATCTTTCGAATTATTGTTACTATTATCATTATTACTATCACTACTTTGACGACGTTTCATTGGGTTACGGTGCTTCAAACGATTCGATGTTAAATTTGTTGCTGATTGATTATTTATATTATTCTCATCGTTATCAACCACATCATTATTGATACACTCATTGTCATTACTATTAGCATCATCATTAGAATTGTTTTTATTCGTGGCAGCATTATTAATATTGTTTTTATTTTGCTTCATTATCTGAAATTGCACACAATTTAATGTAAGAAAAAAAATCATTCGAATAATCTTTTATACTTGTTAGGTTATTGATATGTTAAAGTTTGACTTGATGAATGCAAAAAATAGTTTTACTTTTTCACTCGATGAATTATTCTCCTTACGATTGCCGCCAACGTTCACCAACTTCTGAAAATAGAACAATGCATTATTAGTACTAATATGAGTAAAAATGAAAACAATAAAAACATACACCAATAGTTCCACGACAGTTGACCGCACCACAACGGCAACGCATCCCAACCATACCATCGCAAATCATCGTTCCATAATCATATGTGATTTCTTCACCTTTAGTTCAAACAATAGTTGAAATAACACTGCTGTTAACTACGATAACGATAGTGGTGACAATAATATGAAAAACAATATAACAACGATAACAAATAAGTAATGACTAAATGCAATTTTTGAAGTTGAACTATTAACCTGGTTCAATATCTCTCAGCGCAGTAACCTTGAGACGACAAATACCATCAACCTTGAATCACAACAATGTTAGCGCTAACAATTTAATAATAAAATAACCAAGTATGAAAAATAACGCTAACACGTAAAAAATTATACCGTAACAGCGTTAACCGTACAATTCGGTTCACAAGAATGATTCACCGATCTCGACATATTACCACAGTTCCTGGCATCCACATAATATTCACTTGTTAGCTGCATACCAAAATAAGACATCTCCAAATTATTGAATGTACCAATAAAATTCAACTCGTCAAAATACTCATCTTTCGGCATCACACGTCCGACGTATTCCGTTAAATCTTGACCCTAAAAATCTTTTTCTCTTTCTTCACAGCTATTATTCTTTTCACGTATAATATTTAAAACAATTAGTTATCATAATCACAACTCAATTTACAATGATATTTTATAATTTATAATAGTGTTCTACAGCTATAATCATAATCGCCATTTATAACAATCGTAATAATTGATAATAATAATAATAATTATTATTATGAAATTTACAATAATCACACGTCAATGAATGAGTAAACAAAGGAAATTCAACTGACACTCTCGATCTTTTTTTTCGCGAAAACACCGAATCCTTTGTGAGCTGTTTGTTTCTCTTCCATCCATTCATCATCATCAGTACGTTTATGATTACGTAAAAAATTATTCACACAAACATTACTGCTTTGGCTGTTATGTCGTCTTATTGACATTTTATTTTTCGTTGTTCCATTCAGTTTGCGCATTCGTGATGATGATAATGACACTTGCTTTTGATTATACAATTCATCGCAATTCTGTCAATTTCATAATAACATTATATTTCCGGCATAACGCTAGCTTGCTTAAAGTGGTCTACTGACGGTTTCTTTACGGAGGGAAGAAGAACTTAAAATTATCACAATACTGAACAAACACCAACCATCACACACACGCCACCACACCAGTGGTAAAGTTATCAAATTGAAATTAATAATAATAATAAGGACGATAATAATAATAATAATAATAACAATAATAATAATAATAATTGAACAGAAACTACCTTCGGACACTCGACATGTATGGAACGGTTCAAGCAGCTGTGTACAGCCGTGCATCTCTGACCATTGACACCCTCACATGTGCACTGACCTAATTCCTCCGCATTAACTTTTGCCAATTTACCGTTTATACTCACCTTTGATATTATTCATTATTATTGAGTATTATTCATCATAAAATGCTTAAATTCTACTGCAATGAATGAATGAAATAAACCAACTTGAATTTTTTTATACTGAGGTGCTTTGAGTTGTTCAACTTCGGCTGGTAGTGGACGATCTATACCGAAATTAATACCATTTGTTTTGAATAGCTCTTTTACAGCTAAAAATTCATTTAAAACGGACATAACATTGAATATAAGAATACATATATGCATAGTTGACTATGATGAATTATCACAGAAAACATTTTGAGGAGAAAACATAACAAACCATTTAAAACATTTTTGTGTGATTTAAATCGTTTCCAAACAGGGCAATCAAGACTATTCGGAAACGGAACGATGTCACGAAATGAGACCACATCATAATTGGGCACCTTCAAACCTTCGACCCATTGTATCAGCACATAACCGGGCTGAATTTTTATTAACTGCTATCATTATCACTATTCATATCGTAGGGTTACGATACACAAAAAGGATTAATTCGTTTAGATTCCCGCCACGAAGTATACGTATTAGTGTTCGAGATCTTGACCAATTCTTTCCCACCGAGGAACCATCACAAATCACGGCGAATATAAACGTATATCACATTTTATCGCACACCAATTCATTCAATTACAATGATTATTGCAAACCGTAGGTCGCAACGATATAATGTTCAGATTTTTCACCTTTACGATGACTTTTCGTACTTCTCCAGTAAAAAACCTAAACGCTTTAACATCGCAACCCACGGCTTAAAGCAGTTTGTTCTGCCAAACCCGAAAAAATGCTCCAAAATTTTTAAAAACTTATACTAATTCCCAAGATACAAACAAAGAGTAAGGGGCCCCGCGAGTGTTTCAAAGTCTCCGTAGGGAATGGAAATTCTCTCACATCCAAACGATCCATCAGGAATTGTCACGGGGTCCTCATCGGAATGCCCCTTCCAAACATCAATTGGAATTGAAAATAAGCTGTGATAAATCGAAATCTTAATTTATAAATAACTTATTTCTTATTGCGAACTGACAACGAAATATTCGTTCCGCCACTTTTTGAATATGAATTGATGTTATTATCAAAAAGAATTTACTATGAGTAATCTGGTCAATAAATTTTGATAAATATACATTTTTTGTTGAATACGTAATAATCCCTGAATAAATATTACTGTTGTTTATTATTGTACTAACAATAATAAAAACAACCATAATAGCAACAGTAATAACAATAATAATAAAATTCAATTAATAAACTCACCTGTTGCAATCGTTCTACCATTCTGATCTTTCTGAATAAACCAGTTGGTAAGAGATCGGCGTGAAGCGTTTTGGCTGGCCATAAACTGAATATTATCAACGATAATAACAACATTCACGAAAATAGTCACCATAATGATCACAAGAAAAGATAATAACATACTATCCTTTCGAAGTGGCCAAAACGTAGTCACCGATCCTCGGATAGTCATGATATTCGCATGCCTCACAAATGAAGTGACCATTCGCATAATCATCTTTATGTTGTTTTTGTTGTGTTGTCGAAAGTCCATTGAAATAACACTCGCAATATGAACGTATACAAGCACTGCATTTCAACTTACAATCCTTATCTAAATACTACGTTTTTGTTGATTAGGCAGCTCAAGTTACGAATTTGATGATCTTGTTTAAAGAATCTTATGGCACCAACAGGTATTCAACTGAACACTACTCCGCAACAGAATTCGAATAATTCCAAAAAGGTGAAGAATATCGATTACAGATTTAATTCCATCTCAACAATTAAGGATAAGATTGATGTGATCGAAAGATAGATCAAAACGCTTAATAAGAAATAAAATCGACAGTAAGAATTTATCATTCAGTTCGGTTGGATAACAAGCTTTTTGATCAAGCTTTGTAATTCAGAGATGACAATTCAGATTATTGAAAACTGCGTCAGCAACAATTAATAAATAATAACGTAGAACACTAACGTTTCAAATACGAATAGCATTTAACACAATAAGAAGTGTGTGAAGATGATGTCTTCAAAACATTTGCATGCCTCGGGCACATAATAAAACGATCCTTTAAACGATTCACATGATGCGAACCAATTATAACACAAGATCGATGCCATGCGAATACACATTCTACACAGCTCATTAAACGGCCTCAAATTTAAGTTTCGATTCAATTAATAATAAACAATTAACGACAAACAGTAATGAAACAATAACAACGAAAATACCCATTTGAGATCGTGTACGTAAGAGCTGTTGGTTGCAAAAATTACATTCATGCTGCGGACACAACCACTTTTTTGCGTTCTTCAAGTCCATACATGGATCCCCAGCTGAGTCTAGTACGTGCATTCGTGGTACAAAATCACCTCAAATGACACTAACAAAAATAATTGCAATAATAACTGTTACTATTACTGTAAAAAATATCACTGGTTATAAATAACAGCAAAAAGAAAGCACTAACCTTCACGAAACGATAAAAAACAACTTTTATGAAATTTGGTTTTACAAGCACTGCAGTTTAATAGATCTTCATCAATCGAAGACTGGTTGTACAACTCATCATTAAAGTGCCTCATTGCACATACAAAACATTCATTTTGCCAATCTGAAACTTTACAATAACAATGATAATTAATAATAACAAAAACGATAAGTTAAAAAACCAATAAATCACGGACCACATTTTCTCATTTGCCAATATTGCTCATTTGCACCCTTCTCTTCCAGTTCAATCTTCTTGCAATCTGCAATCGTAATTTTAATAAGTCAGCATAATGACAGTAACAATAATAATATATCAATACCAGACAGAGTTTACAGCAGTACTCATACACTGGAATAGCGTATCATTGAATAAAATGAGCATACCATCCATTGTTAATTATTTGTTGCTGTTGAACAGATATGTATGTTGATGATGTTAGTTATTTGTTACTGAATAGATACAGATTGCTATAATTTGATCATACGCTATTGAATGCAAGAAAATATAAATTCGATTAAACATCAATGGACGAAAACAAAACGATTTCACCGTTTACACAGCATAACTCAACGCCAATCTGTGAAAAAGGCGGGAATGAATTACATTTGGTGGTAATTTTAATAAAAACTTGATTCGTAAAACGAATTGTTGAATAATCAACAATCACCGTCATATTTATGGGAACATGCTGAAAGCTGAAAAAAACCCAATATACCGACGAAATTAATCCAAATTCTTTTTTTAAAACATAAATTGCAATGGAAAGATCTGTCAACCAAAACCAAATCAAATTCAAATTCCTGGCACTCAGCCGGAATACTGGCTCAATTCCAACCACTGAACTATTCGTATGAATTTAGTTTCAGAGGCTTTGGTAACAGTAGATTTAGGCGGAGCACGGGTAAAAAGAGCTCATTAAAATTTCGAAAACTAAACGTTTAATTTTGCTGCAAATTTGCGAGTTTGTGAGGGATTGAATTTGCAATCAGTTACGAAGGTTGAGCTATGCCTGTTCCCCCTTTTCGGTTTTCACCGCTATATTCAGTCAATTCACTCTATGCGCATCTGCAATGCGTTTTCCTCTCGTTCTCTCACCTATGAGCGCCAGGACGGGCACGCCCATGGTGGCGCTTTCCGGCTTTTGTTACCCCAGACGAGCGATTCCGCTCACCCTCATTGTCATTGAATCGAAGAATTTGAACATTCCTATGAACTGACATATTAAAGTTGCGCACAGCTGCTGAGTAACAAATTTAGTCAGGCCGCTTTTCACAGCTACCATTTTACTACCCGTGGAAGTGTTTATAAAAATCAAACCCCTGACCGTCCACTTGATCCCATATAAGTCTTCCGCTGTTTCCTTAACCATTCAAATCTTGTTAACATCCCTTGCCCGTGCCACATTTTATTCAATCAAATTATTACGAATATGATGATAACTTTTAGTTTATGCACGGTAATTTTGCCGCAAGATCACATATTTACACAAATACATAAACGACTCATCACTAGTGATGCCTAATTTGGGAAAAAAATTGACCCACCTCCGATTGCGCATTTCTTGAAATTTGGTTATGGCTCCGCTTTTTCAAAACATCGGCTTCAGCCCTGAAATTTCCTCTTCACGTCTTCGGATCCGGAAAAGAATTACCGTACAGAGTATAGCTCCGTTTACTGAATGTTTGTGTAGCATTCTTTCTGAGAGAATCAAGAAAAGAATTTTTTGGCTCCGGAAATCAGACATCACTATTCAACACCCCTCATGATCAGTAATAACAACGACACACTAACATAAACAAGGATTAAAGCATTTAAAATTAACATAAAACAACATGTCAAAGTCTAGCAAGCGAAAGAACACTCGCCTCTGACAAACAAGTTAACCATTATTACAGATCATGTCGTATTATTTTAAAATAATCAATTTTGAAGTAATTACGAGTATCATTATTATTTATCATTAAAGTCGATGTTAAGAAAGCGCTCTACGTTGATGTTTTTTTAAAAAGCTTGAATAACAAAAACAGCAACAATAATTACAATATATTTAATACGAATAACCATAAAAACCAAAGTGTTTGTTGCGTCAAATTCGAACATATTTACAAATATATCTACACAATCAAAACGCATAAACGAATTGACAATAACATAGAATGAATATTAGTGAATATATGAGATATTGTGGTGAGTGACAGAACTTGATTTGAGCAGATCACGTACAAATTCACCTTTCAGTGCTTTCATACAACGCCGATACAAAGTTGACGTTCGATATTTGGTGATTTCGAACGATGATGAATGTGACTGATGCACGATGAAGACATTCGGTAGAACGATGAAATCGAATCTGAATCATTAATAATTAGCTCTGCAGTTATTCACAACGAAACAAACATACCCTTTGGCGTTCATTGACATGATATGCGATACTTTATTCCAGCCAAATCCCACAAAACGTGTATCATAAAATGGTGTTTCGTTACGTGCCACTACCACATACGGCTCATAGTCTGTTCTCCATGTTACCTATAGCTGTACAACGTGAACAAAAAAACTCATAATAAAGATATCAAATATTACACTCAAAGCGCAATGAAAATTAGAAATGGGCAAGAACAAACCGAATATTCGAAATCGGTATTACGCCAAAAATCGTAATCAGTTGCGAAATGTCCCTTTTTCCAAACGTCTTGTCGAAATATTTGTATCTGTCCATTGTCGAGGAATGACAACAAATTTGATTTTGTGTTTGGTACAATTATATTACGATATAATTTAGACTCAAACGCCGCAATTATAAATGCAGTTCGTGGGTTGTACGTTGTTCGTTTCAGTAAACGCTCTCTTAATAAGATGTACAAATCTAAACGTTTTATCATTACAATAATAATGACAATTTGAAAATAATCAAAATGAAAACAATAAAGACCTGGCATTGGTAAGAAGTCAACATCGACTAGAAAGACGTGAGAAGTTGTTGAAGCATTCAGCGCAACATTTCGAAGGTAATTTATCGGATAATGTATCTACAACGTTTTTGGAACGATAACAACTTTGATGATAATAATTGCAAGAACCGTAATGAAGAAAATACAATAACGAACGTAAATTTATTCAACAAAAGTGTTTGGTAAGATGTATGTGAACAAACTGACTCCCTCTTTGAAAACAGCATGAATTGCGACGTTTTTACGATGATTAAAAAGATTCGATTCATTGAAGTAATCAGCCAACTGAATCAATTCCAGATCCGATAAATAGAATGCCACTGATATCGGACCATTCCAATAACTTAACAATGATTCGAGTAATAGCAAACGATCAATCGATAGCTGTGTTACCAATGTCACGTCCACATCATACATCTAATATATTCTTTGTGCAGTATTAATGTTAATTGCAAATAATTGTGAAAACAGCAACAACGCTCTAAAAGAAGAGTTACTTCCAAATACTTTTACTAATAAGATTAAATTAATAAATAATCTCACCTCATATTCATATGCTCGTATAAAAAGTTGTGTTCGATAAACGATATGCCTTGCATTCCTCAACTCAGCACAACCATCTTCATTTTCATCATATTCGTCATATAAAGAACGAATTTCGGACGATTTCTAAACAGAAATTTTTGCTGGTGTAATAGTAATTGTTTGTTTTGGTATGCTCGTCATTTCTGGTGTGCGAAAAGCCTTTTGTTCTAACATGCTTATACTTCTTTCTAAATCAGCTGGAGACTGAGGACGAGGCTGAGACGTAAACATTCATCTTTTGGTTTGCAGAATGCTCACTTTGACAATAGCAAACAACTTGAAATGAATTCTCAGTGAACCACCCACATCGTCTGACATCTATTGAAATGATAATTTTCTAAACTCAACGATATCAGTCATAAAACATATCAACAAACCAATTCATTATAACACGGTATCATATCAGCACGTAACAAATTACCATCCATCTGTGTGAAAGTTTGGTAATGTCGACGAAAAAATATCGCGTACGGATTTTGAGTTCGTATTTTCTTCGGTGAATTCCAGTGAACTACCTGAATAATAATATAATTGCTCTTATTTTTACTTTAACAATAATAATAGTAATAATAATAATAAACAAAAAAATAACAACAACAACAACAACGACAGTAATAATAGCAATATTGATGAAAACATCAACAATAAAACAATAACGCCGAATTTTCACAAGCCACTGCGTATCTAGATCAAACGAATTCAAGTTCACCAACGAAGAAAAAAAGCAAACGAAACAAACAAACAACCTTCAATTCAGATATTTTTGCTGCACACAAATTTTGTTTCGACTGATAACCCATTTGAAAATTCCATTCACATGGTAATTTATGAACCATTTCTGGTTTTTTACTGATCACTGCGTTGATTATATCCTCAAATACACTTCGATGCTTGATGATAATATGCGTTTGCGTGCACAAACAGATAAAGCAATTACTGAACTCACTTGATCAGCAAGTTGAGTCGCACCGAATTCCTTCAAGTTCTCGTTTGCCACCTCCTTCCATAAATACGTCCAATTCATTTGTCTTAATTTTTCGAGATCCATCAGCATAACACCCGTATTAAAGCCTCGATTCTTAACGTACTTACTATTTTCATCGTTATTATTTCTACTATCATAAAACAACGTGATCATTTTCAAAAACATATCAACGTGAAATATGAAGGAAGCATTTACCCACGCAGGCCATGGTTTACGATTCGAAGAATACCAACTCTTATTGTTGTTGTTATTATTTAGATACCAGTCAGAAAGGTTCTCAACTAAACCGAAAATATGCGACGAGTTCGCTGCGATCAGTGACCAATATTGCCACAATTTCGAGACATCTTCAACAAACAACAAATCTGTATCCAGCACAACCACCTTAAATCAACAATCTTCACATCAACGCAATAACTATCAATCATTTTACGTTCCATTTTAAATCACCTCGGCTCTGTGAACCTCATCCATTTTCATCACTTGTCTTACACAATAGCACTGAATAAAATGAATACGTGAACAAACAAATATTCTATTCAATCCGAATGAAATCACCTTTCTAACGTTACTCGCCAATATATCTGCCAGTGTTAGTTTAAGAAGACCGAATTCTTTTGAGTAATGCCGATTTGGAATCCACGAAACTCGATTCACAAACGCCGAGCTGTCGTAGAAAAGAACTTCAACTAAATATCGCTATGATGATTATTCAACTATATAATATTAAGTATTCAATTATATAATACTGTCCATTACAATATGATATTAAGAGTAACAATAAAATACAAACAACAATGAACCTGATGGCAGTCTCCATGTACGGAAAAGCGTAGGTAAAATCTTTGCGGCGATATCATCAACAACCAGATGTAATGTGATCGCATTTCGTCGATGGTACAATAAACTTTTCAACAATGTTACCAAACGAGAACTTGACTCATAACCAGCACATACTATGGCTATATGAAGTATCTTAACATACCGTCCATTACAATACTAATGACACTGATAATTAATAATGACAAAACATAAACGAAGTCAAACAAATGAAGCAGCATGAAACAAAACGATAATGACATATTCTTTATTCTGTTTTCATCGATAACGTCAACATATTACGCTCCAACTATGAATCGTTTCACTCAAAACCGTTCATGAATGATTCACCTCACCTCACATTGCTGTTGCTTTCGTTGCGCTTGTTCACTCAACGGCCTCATGTACGTATAATCAGTATTCAAACTACCATCAGATAATAACTTAATACTTTTCAATATAGTCCATGCCTGATTTTGCATAAAATATGAAACTGAAAATTAATTTATCACTTTGCAGAACATGCCAATAAAAATACTTATTTGTCTTGACTGATATCCTTCTTCGGAATGACCTTCGCACTCATTCAACAGAATTACGAAATTAATCTTCGGATCGGTTTAAACACTAACATTAAATCGTATAAAATTAGCAGTACAAACCTTGCAAGAATGCACATAAGTAAAAAAGAATCGATAAAACAAGAACGATTGTGGCCAAATAACAAGCAATTGTTGTTCTTCTACGTCGTTTGCGCATCTTCTTTCACTGCAAACGATAAAGCGTTTGATAAGCATTGAAACAATGATGATCATTTCAAACGGGAAATCAATCGAGAACAATCCCTGATATACACGACGTTCTGGTGAATACCTAGTGAAAACCTACCTGTATGGTAGCTCCAACGTTAACTGATTCACCACTTCCAATTGGAGTCAAAAAATATTCAAAATTCAAATTCCATTCAAGATGGTGAAAAAGTTCGATTCGTCATCGAAGATGAATAAGCGTCCTAACGTGACTGAGAATCACCTGAAAATTTGTCAAGAATGCGCTCAATTGGGACACCATCCGGTCGGAGGGCATTTCCTGTATCATCGCTTTTGTAAACACGTCGGATTCGGTAAATCAAAACATGATAATGACCACCCATATGCGCGTAGATAATTCATTTGCATAATAAGGATATAAGTCGTTTACATGTGAAAAGATTTCTGAACTGTCTCCTTCAAGATGAGAAACAACGCGAATGAAATGAAATAAACCAATATTCAATCAATGAATCGCTCGTCATAAAATCATATCGTTCGCGTTTTCACAAAAAAACAATCGGATTAAACCAACCAAAGAGAAAGACTAAATGATAATAATTTTTTTAAATAAATGTTCCAATCGTACAAAAAATTGCGTAATCTGAGACGCTTCAATTACCTTCATTGTTACTACCAAGAAAATGAATACCCTCATTCTTTTCACCACTCCCAATTGGAATCAAAAAATATTCAAAATTCAAATTCAATTCACGATGGTGAAAAAGTTCGATCCGTCATTAAAGATGAATAATTCGGGAAGCTGACAGTCCGCCAAGTACGAACGGGATGACCGTTCGCCAAGTGATGGAAATGGGATATTCATTTGATATATGTTCAGAAATGTAGATTTCTTATCCACTGAACAGGAATGAACGCGGGCAATTTATGTATCGTTTTGTAACGTAGATCCAGGAGAATAAAACATGATTTGCAGATTGAGTAGCAATTAAGATATGCTCGAGATTTTCTCTTTCACTTTAAATGCAAAACTTCAAGAAAAAATTTGAATTGTTACCCACCCGACAGAGAAAATTTATAATCATGATATATGCCGCTTTGTAAGCGAGATTGAGTACTATAGAGTTCCGCATTTAAACATTGACACCAATGGTTGAATTACGGAAGTTATGCCACTTAGCGTGATCAGTGATGTTCAACAGTCACAATTAGTATGTACACTGGAGTAATTGAAATTTTCTCTGCCCTGATAGAAAAAAATAGGAAAGAAGAAAGAAAAGCAAGGCCAATGATACCAAGAAAACACATTTTCACGAAGCGAAACTCAGGACCGAGGTATCTTCAATGTTGTACTAGTGATTTTCCTATAAGAGTATTGTGCGGTTCAGATATTTAACTATATCTCCAGAAGTAAGGAAAATCTTTCGACATTATACATACTTTTCGGATAGTAGAGAACTTCACCTTTGTAACGATACCATTGTTACAAGGGTAAACCTCAGGAATGAGGCTCCTTAAATGTAATAGCAGTGATGTTCCCACAGCTGATCAGTTGGTATTTAACATACATTCAGAAATTCATCTGTATCTCAAAAACGAAGCATCATTCTTCCTATTTGTTTCAATGAATTCACAAAGTATTCGTCAGATACTCTCTTCAGTTCCGCTGAACACACACTCAGCGCCTTGTACAAACAGATGCCGTCAGTCTTCACTGCGGCTGTAAAATATTGCCTAGGACGCTCAGATGTGTCGAAGGCACAAGTTTTTGCCAGTATTGTTTTGTTCCTGATGGCCGCTTTCCTTGTGTTTTTCGCACATGACTTCTTCTCACTGCAATGAAGATGACGAGAAGTATCCCAATTTTGCTCATGCTCCTTCGTAGAAAACACGGAGATTTTCAATTACTCCAGTATATTTGTAGACGCGTTGTGATAGACGGACCACTCCCCATGTGCAAATTTGGTAAAATTGGGTGGAAGGAGTCCCTAACCCAAACTGAAAGAGATTGGTCAATCGGGAATAGCAAAGACCAGTTTGATGGCCATCAAATGACGGCTCATAACTTGACTTATCGGCGGCCAATGAAACACAAATCTGTTTTCAGTATACAGTCGGTCTGACATATTTTCAATTGTTGTCGATGGAATAAGTGACGACTACTCAGTAATCAAGGAGATTCGGAACACATTTGGAAAAAAAGACAACACGGAACTGCAGCAATTTTTTGTATCATAATAAAGCAATTCGGGTAAACCTACATCAAGAATTAACGATGATGACAATAATGGAAATGAGAATGTTTCTACGTGTAACGGGAACTGCAACTGGAAAATATCTGGACTTACGATTAATACAAACAGTTACCAACCAATCAACAAGAGTAATCCAAAAACTTGATGAAATAATCGAGAACTGTACAAGTAGGTTTGCATCAACTCCTTAGCAAAAGAGGAAATCCAAAGAAACAATGTGTAAGATAGTACTTCGTGAATGTACTTGAAAACAATATACTTGAATAATGTAATAGAAGGAGCAATTCATGACTGAACAAGACGACGTTTCTACACGTGCGATTGCACAGTATCTGGTAGGATGACATAAAATTCAGATCAACTGCAGGCCTTAATGAGTGGTTATAATGCTGTGATTCTAGTAACGTACATGCGATGTTGAAACTTCGTACAACTTGATAAGACTGTCACTTATGATTGTGATTTATGATGAATTATACTTTTTTCTACGTTTGTGATCAACAAGCTATGATTTACACTCAATGATTCAGGATTGCTGACTTAACGTGATCTGCTTGATTGAACCACTGAATTTTTTAGCCGTCGTAAAGGTGAAAGCTTATCAAAATTGAAACTAAATAAATGAATATTTTTTAAATTCCCAAAATGCGCGTTGTTACATTCCCAAGCCAAAAGAAAATTTGTCAATTCATCAAACATTTCAAAAAAATTTTTGCATTCTTCCAATCAACCGTTTAAAGGTACGAAATAATGTTTAAAAGGTACATAATAATAATAATAATCATAATAATAATAAAAAACAATAATATCAGTGAAGAGGATACGTAACGATTGATTTTACGACTACATATATTATACGGAGTTAAACAACATACCTAGAAAGCATCACCGAACACTGGTTCATGACAAACAGCTGTAAATAAATAAACAACTCCAATAACATTGCATAATGATAATAACATCAAAGATCAGTTACAAATAAATAGTCAACAACAAAATAAAATGTGAAATTACATCTATCAATCAAAAATTTGATTGAATTCAAACGAACAACCAATGGATACAACAAAATCCATTTGACTTCAGCACAAAATAAACATCGAATCTTAATTCAAATACAAACACAAATAATACAATAACGAATTGATTTTCACCAAAAAGATTTCACCGCAAAGCTTATATGCTATATTGTTGACAAAAAAGTTTCAACGAACCAATAAAAACTACTAAATAAACGATTGAAATCTGAGCAAAACTCATTCTTCGATCCACTCGATCGATTCAATTCGACTTATAAGTAATAACGATTCAACGTTTTAACAAACTGTCCAAATCAAACACAACTGGAAAATTAAATTAACACCACATAAAATCGATCAAATGCTGCAATTTCATTCCAATAACAATTAAGATCAAGCAGTTTGCTATACGCAATAAGGAATTACAACTGCCATCTCCAATAGTGGTTATAATATTACTATCAATAACAATAATAACATACCAGAATGAAAGAATAACGATGATTAATTTGCAAACAAATAAAATCAATCCTATTAGTCAGTCACAAAATTACAAAGAAATGAAATGGACACCACATAAAATCGTACGAATGTATTGGAACAATATTCGTGTATCAACAAAAAACAAATCTATCATTAATAAATCGAAATACTAACGATTATAAACAACATATAACATAGTATATAGTTTTATTCTTAGTATGATATTAACAAATATAACCGTGAATCAATTCATTTTGTGTTCCGCCAACACAACTTTGAAACAGAATTGTAATTAAATCTCTTTTTCAATTCACATCATTTTCTACATTGGCTTAGATTTGTTTTCATGCATCACTAGAAAAACAATCGCAATGACGATAATAAAAACAGCAATAATAAGTGTGACTGGGGTGACACAAAGGAGAATGGAGAGGATGATGGTAAGGGTGACATTATGAAATAGGCAGTCGAGTGAATAGCTGAAGGAGTAACGAAAGTTAAGGACCTTGTAAAATGTGCGAGCGCAAGGAAAATTAAATGGGCAAGGAAAGTAACGCTCATGGACAATGGTAACTGGACGAAGAGGTGCACGGGGTGGCAGCCTAGAATTGGAAAAAAAGAGGTCGTAGCCTACTGAAAATGAGACGGCGAGACCACATATGCAAAACCGCGGGTCAAACGTGGATGAGAAGAGCAGTCAACTATAATAATGATGATAATCTTGAAGAGGCTTACGTACGAAATGTGCATTAATTCGCTGAGTGAATAAGTACATAATAACAATAGATCATAAGCCATTCGTAACTCGTGTTGTATTAGTAGTCATATTTCGATTGTTATTACTACTGCTAGTGCCAGTATTGTGAATAAGGTGATCAGCTGTAGTCGTCATATTGGTTGGTTGATCATCATTAATATCTTCATCATCATTATCATCGTTATCGTCATCATCATCATCAATATCGTTGATATCTGAATTTGTCGCATCCTTACTTATCACTTTGCTTGTTGTACTGTCGCATCTTTGTTGTTGTTGCTCGCCAGCACCATTGAATAACACCTTCTTTTGACCATACGAATCGTGCGTTTGCTCATACACCATTATTTCTTTGAATATCAATTCTGAAATTCATTTCATGACACTTGTGACAGAACGACCGCTGCTCTTTCTTCATCAAATTTTTATACGGCCTCTGAAGTAAACAGGTAACACCAATAAAGCACTCACCTTTCCACTGATCAACACTATGCTCATGTGAGTCAATCGAATGATTGTATTGTTGCGGCGGAGGTGCAAATACTTCTTTCTCATCAAACCATACGTTCACATACGGATGCTTTAACGCATCATCTACCGAGATCCGCTGCTCTGGATCTATCACTAACATTTTCGATAATAAATCTCGTGCCTGATTCGCTAAAATTTATCAATTTTTCTAGTACTATCCTTATTACAAAATCGCAATATAAATCTGCTCGGAAGTACTCCAAATTTCCAAGAATTTAACAACGAAACTAACCTACAACAAAATAACTTTTCAAATGAGTACAACTCATGACGCAACAACAACAATAACAACAACAACAACAACAGGAGTAAAACGCCAACAACTGCACTTACGACACAAATTGCTATTGGTTGCCGCTGGTGGAAACATATTATCAGAGAATAAAATATCGAATGGTAAACCAGTATGACGTGGCCGATTCTCAACATAATTTCTAACTGTTGACTGCAATTTTTGCATAAAATCCCGTCCGGGTGTACCGAGTTGTTCGATGATTTTCGACCATTGATCAATATGATCTGTACCCGGGAATAAGACCCGTCCACGAATCAACTCACCAAATATACAACCAATCGACCAAATGTCCACTAAAATCTATATTTCATCACACAACAACTTAACTTATCAGCATCGCACCGCCACACTACCGCTACTTTATTTCCCTATAACACTTCCTTGCTAAGCTTAACTTACTTCACCTAATGTGTTTTGTTCTCGTTGCTGTTTCTGTTATTGTTGTTGCTGCTGTTGGTGTTGCTGTTTATTTGTTCATTCGGAATCCTCTTTTGAAATACACATACACAAGGGCAAGCAAGCATCCAAGCAAATATACCCCTTTATAGATAAAAACATACCCGTCAAACGAGGATCTGAACTCGTTGCTGGAAATAACATATCTGGGAAGAGTTTTTCGATGGAAAAACCATTAAAATGCGGTCGATTCTCAACGTAATTACGTACGGTTGGTTGTAGACGTCGCATGAATGTGGTCGATGGCGTGCCGAGTTGCTCGACAATTTTCGTCCATTGATCGATATGATCAGAACCCGCGTACAAAACACCACCACGAATCATCTCGCCGAATATACAGCCCAACGACCAAATATCAACTAAATCAATCAAGCATTTAGCATTAGCAGTATAATAGCCATAGCAGCAGCAAAAGCAACAACAACAACCAACAAGAACACCAAATAGGAGGAGCAAAACGGAATTAACATATGAATCAACACAAAATCAACAAACAAAGAACTACAACAAATACATATGTGATCAAGGAAGTAAAACAATAAGCAACTCCATTCAGATGAAAACAAGCTGACCGTTAATCTGTTAATATCAGCATTATTATTGTAACAAGTTTAGAGAATACGTTTGCTATATATATATATATATATATATATATATATAGCAGGAAAGTACA